AACCAGGTTCAGGAAGCTCAAAATGAAGCACCGAATCCCTATGGAAGAAAGACACTTCATCCAGATGGCTTAAGCTGCCCTCAAGATCTCTCTGAGAAAAAGATTTGGTGGGATGCTGTTTGGAGACCTGGCAGAACTGGCAGATAAAGCATCCAAGTATGAGGAACTGCTTAGGGAAGAACAGTAGAAGAGGAACTCATCCAAAGGCACGTATTACAAGTCACTTTCCTCTTCAATACATCTGGTTTAGGTAGAATTAGAAGAGGAAGCAGAATGCTCAAAGGAGGGAGAAGTTGCAGTAGCAGAAACGGCAAAATTGAAACACCCCATCAGCTGCAAGGCCCTTACTAAGCCACCACCTTTCACAGGAGGGTTTGTTCCGAGCAAACCAACACAGAACAAGGTTTATTCCTTTGATCTAACCAAGGTGGATGCTTTATTTGATGAAATGTTGCTGCAAAAGGCAATAGAGACACCCACAGGATGCCCAAACCAGAATAGCTCAAGGGCAGGCAGTATTGCAGGTGGCACAACTCTTGGAACCATTCTACCAATAGTTGTGTAGTTTTCAGAGATGTTATACAGGAAGGAATAACAGCAGGAAAGTTGAAACTTGGGGAGAAATCTCCTTTAGTCACAACAAATCCTTTTCCCCAAACACTTGTCAACATGGTCAACTTAAATTAGTCAGAACAGAAGAGAAGCAGGCTAACGACAGAAGCCAGTTCCAGCATAGGCATAATGGTTTCAAGGGAAACTATTGAAAGGCCAAAAGCGACTATCTCAGCTGGAGTAGTGCTCTGCAACAAGTGCAAATGTGAAGCTAAGCTAGAAGTGGTCCTGGACAAGCAGAGTCAGCCTATTCCGAGTGTTTTTGACAGGATTGGAACCTCATCCCGAGATAGAGTCAGGCGGAAGGAGTATCCCATACCAGCCCAGCACAGCAGGAGGATGACAGAGCAACCCAAGAAGGAAATATCAATCAAGATGCCAGGGAATAAGAAACCTCTGGCTGCTATCATAGAAGGAAGGTGGTATGCTATCAGGAAAAGTGGCAGACCAATTATGGAATTAACCAGAACCCAGAAGAGGAGGGTTCAAAGGCAATACTGCATATTCCTCAAGAACAAAAATGATGCACAGGCACCTCCGGAGACCACTTCTGACAGAAAAGGGAAAGATCCGGAGATACCTTCCCAGGCAGAACAAGTAATCCAGCCATAGAAAATGTTGAAAGCTGGATCTCCAGTTAAGCCTTCTATCCATCTTGCCTCATCCTCAGACAATCAATTTAAACCTTCACAGATACAAGGAGAATCTGAACCAATTCCAGTAGAAGGGCAAGAAGACTGGACTGAGGAAAATGAAGAGGAGCAGCTAGATTATGAGCCATCTGCAGATGACCAGAATGCACTCCTCGAAACAGGAGAACAGGAAGACTGGACAGAAAGATTCGGGGAGGAACAGATGGAATATGATGGGGAATTAGATGCAGAAACTGAAGCTTTTGGTGCAGAATTGGAAAACCTGTTGCAGGGTGATTTGGGCATCAACATGGTGTTTATTCTGCTAGAAAAGTTCAGAGCTGCAGAACGATAAGAAAGCACTCTTGAGGGAGATGTTTTCTCCTAGGAAAGTTTTGAATGCAGGTTAGCAGAAGCAGAGGAGGTACCAGAACAGCGAGCAAGCAGTCCCAGGACAGGCAGAACTACCAACAAACTAACTGCAGAACAGCTTTGTTTCTCCAAACCAACCAAGGAGATGGCCAATCATCTCAGACCTTTGTTTATAACAGCAAATTTTGGAGGTGTTCTTATTCCCAAAGTCATGGTAGATAGAGGTGCAGCCATTAATCTTCTACCTCACAGAATGCTGAGCAAAATGGGCAGAATAGAGAAGGACTTGATCCTAACACGCTTAACCGTCACCAACTTGGCAGGGGGCGTCACCAAAACTCATGGGATCCTAGATGTGCATGTCATAGTTAGAAGCAAAGAGCTAAAGATTGCATTCTTTGTGGTAGACACCACTTCCACCACCTACAATGCACTGCTTGGCAAAGACTGGATTCATCAGAGTCTATGTGTTCCTTCCACTCTTCATCAACAGTTAGCTTTATGGAATGAAGAAGGTTACATGGAGATAGTAGAGGCCGATCCACGGCCATTTCTGCCTTCTGCCATGTGTTTCAAAGCAAGGTACTATCATGATGACCTTGGTCCTTTCACCTTCCTTGGAGTCAACCAGAATGGCTGCCCCCATGGTGTCACGGCCCAGAGGCTCCTTGAAGATGGTCTAACCAATTCCTTAGAGGACTGGAATAGACCTTTTGTTCTAAACTTCCAGAACTCTGATGTTTAGTCCCAATCAACAGAAGAAGGATTGAGCCGCAACAATCCGATCCATTACAAAAAGATTGTTGATATATTGGGAGGAAAGGAAGCTCTTCATGCAGGATCCAGCCATCAATATGGCAAAATTCACTCATGAGAGCACGGAAGACCAGGAGGAAGAAGAGTTACAGAAGGAAGTGTTAGATTTTGCGCCAGCGGCATTGGATGACTCTCTGCCAGAAGTGGAAGATCCTTTACAGGAAATAAACTTAGGGACAGAAGAGGATCCAAGGCCTACTTTTATTAGCGCACTATTGAAAGAACCGCTCAAGAGTGTGCTCATTGCACTGTTGCGGGAGTTCAGAGATTGTTTTGCTTGGCATTATCATGAAATGCCAGGTCTAGATAGGGAATTAGTGGAGCACAAGCTGCCAATCAATGAGGGATACCTTCCAGTCAAACAGGCCAGAAGAAGAATGTCCATGGACACAGAACTAAAGGTCAAATAAGAAATAGAAAGGTTGCTCAAAGCAGGATTCATCAGACCAGCCATCTATGCTGATTGGCTAGCTAATATTGTACCAGTTCTGAAAAGAAAAACTGGGGCAGTCAGAATCTGTGTGGATTACAAAAATCTAAATGAAGCTTCTCCCAAGGATGAGTACCCTATGCCAATGGCAGACATGCTAGTAGATGGAGCTGCTCATAACCAGATGCTACCTTTTATGGATGGCATTGCAGGTTACAATCAGATCATGGTGGCAGAAGAAGACATCCACAAGATAGCCTTCATGTGTCCAGGACATATAGGTGCTTTTGAGTACACTGTAATGCCTTTTGGCTTGAGAAATGGAGGAGCCACTTATCAAAGGGCAATGAATTCTGTCTTCCATGATGGCATTCTTTGGAAGTTTATATCGATGACATAGTGATTAAAACCCTAGAGGAGGGAAACCACATGTCAAATCTAAGGAGGGCATTCCTAAGAATGAGGCAACATAAACTGAAGATGAACCCAAAGGTGTGTTTTTGGAGTTCAAGCAGGAAATTTCCTAAGATTCTTGGTCCACCAGAGAGGCATAGAAATCGACAGAAATAAAGCAAAGTCTATCATAGAAGCTCTGCCGCCTAGGAACAAGAAAGAATTGCAGAGTCTCTTAGGAAAAATTAATTTTCTAAGGAGATTCATATCCAATTCTGTAGGAAAGATCCAGCCTTTCTCCTCTTTGTTAAGATTAAAGCAAGAACAGACCTTCAATTGGGAAGAGCAACACCAGCTAGCTTTTGAGGAAATCAAGCATTACCTCTCAAATCCACCAGTTCTGTCCCCACCAAAGAGAGGCAGACTACTCAAGCTCTATGTTTCTGTATCAGAAGTATCCATTGGAAGTCTGTTAGTTCAAGATAACAAAGAAGGAAAGGAACAGGCAGTCTACTATCTGAGCAAAACTCTGACAGAAGTAGAAAGAAAATATTCTGCAATAGAAAGACTGTGCCTAGCCTTGTACTTCACTGCTGTAAAGCTCAGACACTACATGTTGCCATATACCATCTACATCATTGCCAAGACAGATCTAATTAAATATATGCTAACCAGGCCAATGTTGAGAGGCAGAATTGGAAAATGGACCTTGGCCTTAACTGAATTTGCCTTTAGATATGTTCCTCAGAAGGCTGTCAAAGGACAGGCTGTGGCAGGTTTCTTAGCAGATCATCCTGGAGATGAGATTGAGAACATGGACTCTTTGGACATAGCAAGTGCAGATCTGTTAACTAGAGCTCACACTTGCTTTAACAATCCTATCTATTCAGTTCATCTCACACCTTGGAAGCTGTATTTTGATGGATCACAAACTGATATAGCTTCTGGGGTAGGGATTGGTTTGGAAGAACCACTTGGAATCAGACACTGTTATTCTTTCCAGTTAGATTTCCAGTGCACCAACAACAGGGCAGAATATGAAGCTCTAATCATAGGATTAGAAATGCTGGTGGAACTAAGAATCCAATCTGTGGAAATCCTGGGAGATTCAATGCTTGTATTAAAACAGATTGCTGGGGAATACAAGTGCCTAAGTCCTTCTCTAGCCGTCTACTTAGTGGCAGCTAGGAATCTTCTGACATAATTCAGAGAAGCTACTTGGGAGCATATCCTAAGAGAAGAAAACTTTGCAGCCAATGAATTGGCTCAGGTAGCAATAGGAATACAAATGCCTGAAGATTATGTACAAAGAATCATCAAGATAGGGAAGAAAAGCCTACCATCTGTTCTGACCAGGGGGATGGAAATAGATGTTAATTCTGCCGCAATCATTGAAGATGATTGGAGAAATCCTATCATGACTTACTTACGATATCCAACTCTGCCCTCTGAGAAGAGAGTCAGAATCATGGCATTAACTATTCCAAGGGATGTGAATCTTGTCAAAGACACGGTCCAATCCAGCAGGCTCCATCAGTTCCCATGAATCCAGTGGTAAAGCCATGGCCCTTTAGAGGATGGGCAATGGATCTCATTGGCAAGATCTATCCAGCCAGCAGCCAGCGGCACTGCTTTATCATTGTTGCCACAGACTATTTCACTATGTGGGTAGAAGCCAAGGCTGTTAAATCCACTACATCTCAAGAGATCATCATTTTCATAGAAGAACAGACTATACAAAGATTTGGCATCCCATAATCAATCACAACTGACAGAGGATCTTCTTTCATATCTAGAGAAATGTTGGATATGGCGAAGACATTCAAATTCAGGCTGCTTCAATCCACTCCCTATTATGCTCAAGCTAACGGGCAGGCAGAATCAAGCAACAAGGTAATCATCAACATTATCAGAAAAATGCTTGAGAAGAATCCAAAGCAGTGGCATGAGAAGTTGTCAAAAACTCTGTGGGCATATAGAACTTCAAAAAGAGAAGCAA